AAGAGGGTCACTATGTCACCTCTTTTCCAGTCCTCTGGTACCTTGTTTGTAAATATTATTGCCAAGGGCTCCATTGTATCCTCTGCCAGTTCCTTCAGGTCTTCGTGAAGTTCAACAGATCCTGATGACTTGAATTCATTCAGATCCATCAAAATGTCTCTGGCTGTTCCTTTTATTATCTCATGCCTCGGCTTCTCCCCTTCCTTATCTAAGTGATCCTTGTTAGATATTGTGTTGCAGCTTGACTTTTGTGTGAAGATTGAGGCAAAGTTGTTGTTGAGTAGCTCTGTCATCATTGCATCTGCTATTAAGAGTTATGATCTGTATAATCGTGCCTCCTTCCATCCCACACATGCTTGGCAGGAGGTGTGATTGTGGGATCATGAATAAGATCCTTTTACACCTTATTGCTGGTGCAGGGGGAGCCTGATCTTGGGCTGGGAACTAGGAGCCAAATGAACTTGACCCAGTCTCCTAGCTGAGGGTGTGCCACAACTGTCTCCAGGGGAGAGAGACCACAGCTGGTGCAGTGTTCCAGACAGAGGGGTGCACATGTCCCCCCACAGATGGGAGCCCCTATCAGCTGATTGGGCTCCCAGCCACATGGAACCCTGGCTACACGTTCAATTAATGCAATGGAAATGTTAGCAGGTGAGAAGATTTAGGAATGTAGGCAAAAGTTTGGCCAAGCTGGGTGTGTCAATTCTGGGATACCTAGAGCTAGTGTAGTGATTTTATGCCAATTAAATCTTGTTTTACTCCAAGCTGCAACTTTATACTAACAACAAAAATATTTATATCTTCTTAATGATAAAAGAGGTACATCCAATTACCATATCAGACTTAATTTTGTTTCATAGTAGTGATTAGGTGATTAAAAAAAAGGGGTTGCAACCCTAAAACTCTGCTCTTCAGCATTGAGCCTCTGTCCTTGCTTATTTTCCCATCTGAAGGGGACCCAAAAAAAGGGGACTGTTTCTTTGGAACTTAGTTTTTGAAACCTAGATAAATTATTTTCTGAGTCTGGCCACCTGTTAGTGATCTTTGGATTTTAGGACATAATACTGTATACTTCTCTATTACAGGTACTAAAATTCTTTTATTCCTTTAGGTTAATGAACATTTCATTACATTTGTAATCAATTTGGTTTATCTGTATGGTCTTACCATTTAAATGTTATTGCTGTTTCAATGTTAAAATTGCCATTAAAGTTCAGTAATGTAATGAAAGGAGGTGGGGAATGAATTGGAACTTGGGGAGAGGGGCAAAAAAGTAACAACTGTGCTGCTGGCCTGGCTGTTTCTGTGTTATGGCAGCATAGCCAATGATACTGCCCCATCTGTCATTGGGTTCAAGTACTTGTTTTTTTTCCACCAGGCTTTCTGAGCCTTTCTTGGTCTCCAGAATACCTCTTGGGATCAACAGTGCATAGTGTGGCAGGCCAGTAGGCGGTGCTTCTGCGCTGAGCCACCCACCTCACTGCACCCGACCCTGGGGGCGCCTCACATGCGGCCGATCCCCTCCCTGGAGCACACCCGCTGGCCTGGGGGTAGAGCTGACATCACCCAGGGATGGGCTTGATTCTGGCTCTGTGCCTCCTGGGAAACAGGCCTAGTAGCCCTCGAGGGTACTTGACTCACTTCAAGAACTTGGGGTGCTTCCCTCAGTCAGAAGCACAAGTAGTGGTCTCCCTTAGTCAGCTGAATCAAGGGGACCCCAAGACATAATCTAGACCCACTCCCAATAAGTCTCCCATGCTAGGTACAAAGGAGAACTTTATTGGTTACAAGGAGTAGGGTTGGAATAGGGTACAGAGTTGAGTAGTATCAGAGAAATCCCATAGAGCAAACAGGGTGACTGAAGTAGCCTTTGATCATGCATCTGAGTTACTACAAGCTGTATATCTAGTTAGATCTCAGGTAGCTTACTCACAAGTATCATCCAGAGGCAGGTGGAGATTCCCTCTGGAGGCAGGCAGTTCCTTGATCATGAGTTTTGAGAGAGAAAGCATGTTTCAGATGGTCCAGCTCCTCTCTCTCTCTCTCTGAGTTTTCCTTATGGCTGCTGCCCCCCCTCCTGGGCAGTCCTTAACTTATATAGGCCTTATGACCTCATTTACCTGGTCCAATGGAGGCCAGCACCTGCTGGCTGTCAGCCAACCAATTGAAATGCATCACTGGTTGCTGGGCAGACTGATAGTCTCTAGCCCACCAGGGTGTCCAAGCCCCTCATCCAGATATGTGATGCCAGTCACGTAGGCAGAGGGAGTAGGTTTCCTCCCTCTCTCAGGAATGTATTGAGCTCAGGTTACCTAAAGAGGTAGGGTAAGGTGTGTATCCTCTGCTGGGCCCATGCTAACCAAATTGTCACAGAGCAGAGTTTTTGAGGAGAAACAGAGGTGGCCTTTTGCCACACATTGCATGTGGTTTTTTTCACATTTTTAAAGTAGTTTTCACATACTCCCAGCAACTACCAGAGTCAGTAAAGGGGACAGCAGTGTGTTCATAAACTGAATGAATAAATTACTCTTAACTGGAATTATAAAGTTTTCCTAATATTTAATGCAGTATTATGGTTGTGGTTTTACATGCACATAAACTAGTAAATTCAGAATTATGACTCCCACATTTCCACTTGAGTATTCATAATATTTTAAGACACTGAATAGCATATTGTAAATCTAACTTCTTTGCATACAAAATGTAGACAGGCTATAATTGCTGTGGGAACCATAACTTTAAACTTTGTAACTTTTCTGTGCGTAACATCTCAGCCATAAAATCATAGTAATGCAGTTTTTTTCTATACAATTTCCTTGCTTGCTTGAAGAGAGAAAAAAGAAGCAGGTGGCATTATGTGACTGATTTTTTTTTTTCTGATCAAGCAGTCAAATGTATAATTCGTCTCAAATTTCTCCTGCTTTCTTACTCTCTGCTCCTAAATGCATTGCTTATCCTTGCCTATTGCCTCAGTGGTTTGTGACAAAAAGTTGTTAGTCTTTACATTTGAAGTCGTAATAATTTTAAACTTGTAAAACTAAAACCATGACATTTTCAATTCTGTAGCATATCAGAAAAGAACGTTTGTGAAGCTTTAAAAATCTGTCAATGTGTTTTATATGATACAGTTTCAGTGATATTGAAGCATATTGTCCCTCATTATAGATTCACAGATTGTAAGGGGCTGGAAAGGACCTTGCAAGATCATTGGGGTCACGTGACCCCTGATGAGGTGACCATCCAGTCTTCTCTTGAAGATTGCCAGAGTAGGTGATTGCACCATCTCTGGCGGGAGTTTATCCACAGTCTGGACACCCTAACTGTGAAGAAGTTTCTCCTAGTGTTAAACCTGAAATGGTCTTCCAGGAGTTTGTGGCCATTACTCCTGGTTTTCCCCAAGGGTGTTCTGGTGAACAATTGTTCACTGAGCCCTTGATGTATTCCCCTGATATCGCTGTAGGCTGCTGCCAAGTCCCCTCTTAGCCTTCTCTTTTTTAGGCTGAAGAGGCCCAAGTCCCTCAGCCTTTCCTTGTATGACTTGCCTTGCAAATCTGTGATCATATGGGTGACTCTTCTCTGGACTCTCTCAAGCTTTTCCAGGTCCTTGTTGAAGTGCAGCACCCAGAATGGGATGCAGTACTCCAGCTGCAGTCTCACCAATGCTGAGTAAAGTGGAAGAATTCCTTCCTTGGTTTTGCTTGAGATACCATTGATTGATGCATGCCAGAGTATTATTTTCCCTGCTGGCTACAGCATTGCACTAATGGCTCATGTTCATGCTGTGGTCTATTATTACCTCTAGGTCTCTTTTAGTCATGGTGCTAGTTCAGTTTGGTGCCATTGAGCCTGTAAGTATGTTGGGGATTGTTTGTCCCCAGATGCAGAACTTTACACTCCTCAATGTTGAACTTCGTCTTGTTCTGATCTGCCCAACTTGCCAGCCTGTCTAGGTCTGCCTGTATCTGCAGCCTATCTTCAAGTGTGGCCGCGCTCCACAATAACTTGGTGTCGTCCATGAACTTGGCCAGTGAGCTCTTCACTCCCACATCCAAATCATTGATAAAGACGTTGAAAAGCACTGGACCAAGCACGGACCCGTGAGGGACACTGCTGGCCACTTCTCGTGAGGACGACACAGATCCATTCATTAGAACTCTCTGGGTCCTACCCTGAGGCCAGCGTCTTACCCACCTAACTGTTGTGCAGTTAAGCCACAATCCTCCAATTTTCCTGTGAGAACATCATGATACCAGATCAAAGGTGTTTTGGAAGTCTAGGTATACAATGTCGACCTCCTCTCTTATCCAGGTGGTAAGTTACCTGGTCATAGGAGGAGATGAGATTGGTAAGACAGGACCTGCCTGCAACAAAGCCATGCTGGCTGTCATTCAGAATCCTACCTTCTGCGAGCGTATTGTATATAGACTCTTTGATTAATTTTTCCAGGATTTTCCCTGAGATAGAAGTTAGGCATTAAATGGATGGCATGGCATACACCTATTTACCAACCAAACATTTATTATTGAATTTGGAAATGGAACAGTTGCACTTCATGTGTTTTTTAATAGAAATGGACTTTTAGTGTCTGAGTTGGAACTTTAATGTTTTTGGTAGGTTGTTTGTTTATCTGTCTTGACAATTGATGTTTGGTCTATCTGCAGACAATAGCATTAGATGATTCACTAAAAAACTGAATAGTTGTTTTCCCTTGTCACTCCCTTGATTTACCACACAATCTTATTTGAAGTGATACAGCATTGCTGTTGGAAAATTCTAATTACAGTTATATACATTTTCCCCATCACCAACCCTTTTTAGAAGTTGAGTCGTCTCTTTAAAAAAACAATGCAGTTGATGTGGTGTGATCTTTCCTTTGAAACACAGTTTCAAGACTTCTTTTGGCAGCCCACATCTATTCTTTTAAATTAAAAACAAAGTCTTTAGTTGTTTTGGAAGTACTGATAAAATCCTTGTTCTTTTTTCTCTCTCCTTTTGTTTAGGGGATGTCTTTGCCACTTACTTATTCCGAAGCTGACTTCATTCTGCCTGTTTTAGCTAACTGTATTCCAATTGTGGCAAAAAAGTAATGAGTAAAAATGAATTATTTTACTAAGAATGATCTCATTTGGAATAACAGGATGAAAAATCTGTTGTTTTCCTAGTTATGGTCAAGCAGTAATGTAAACTGGAGGGCAGAAAATAGGTCAGGTAGACTCCCAGATTTCATGTGTTAGAGAAGACAGGAAACTGTTACTTAAGAAAGAGGACAAATTTTCAACTTAGTGCAAAATGGTGTTGATGAATTACACAAGGGTCCCCTAGTGTCTTGTGTATCTGGGACCTGTGCATCTGATTTCCCACGTACTGTATCAAAAAATCAATATAAATTTGTATCGCATTGTTATTTTAGCACGTAGCTTATAGTGAGTTTCTATCGTAAAGCGTTCTTTAAAGTGGTAACATTTTAATGTAGGATTATTAGTATTGCTGTTTCTAGATGACAGTTCATCTGTATATGTATCCTCATAATGTTGGTGGTAATATATTTCAAGAGAACCAATCTATATTGTATATAGTGCCAAAGTCACATGAGACTCTAATTTTTTAAATGAAAAATGGTGGGAAGCAAACCATGGAAGGTCTTACATACACATATAGTTACATACTGAAACTTACTTTGAATATGATCTCTTGGATTTTTTACAAAGTTTTTGGCTTTTTTAAAAACCAAATATGTATTGTTTTGTTTTGATGCTTTGTTATGGTAAACATGGTGAGACCAAATAATGTGTGCATATGTAGAAGTGGAGTAGAGCAGCTATAGCATTATAGTTATGTGCAAATGTCTCCACATTTTGTTTTAATCACTTTCACCCTTTAATTTTTATTTTCCTTAAGGAGTCAAAATTTAAGTATACAGAAATGCACTGATCTTTGTTAACCATCTGGCTTGCATTACTTAAAGACAATTGAAATATCATATACTCATTTCCAAGATACACATTTTATACTAGTTGTAGAAATTTGAAATGTTAATAAGCTTCAGTGTATAATGTGCATTTCTGAACTTTTTATATATAAAGTTCAGAAATATATGGAAATTAGAAAATAATGAATGGAGACATGTCCAATTTAAAATTTAACATGAATTAAAGAAGTCATGTCCTGATGATTACTTCCCTGAATCTTTTTGCATTTCCACATTGTTAAAGTTCCTTGGTCTCAGTTTTAAAGCTCTGCATGATTCTCTCCTGACCAGTACACACTTCTTTTTCCTACCTAGTCGCTAACTCTTGTCATTATATCGTGAGCTTCATTGGTATTTGGCATTTTATTTAAAACCCCAGTTCCTGGAGTCAAAGAATAACAAGCTGTTCTTGGGTTTTCATTTAAAAAGAAAAGAAAAAAGAAGGTCCAAGCTGTCATGATTTTAGGAGTAAATTTGAAATGTGAAAAAAGAGTACCTGAAGACTCAGAAACAAGACTACATGTAGAAGGAACTCTGTTCTTTCCATGGATAACAAATCTGTTCTGGCTGACTTGAAATGTGCTGACTTGAGTATGAGAACTTTCTAATAAGACCCCCTTTTTTTTATTAGGACAAGTAGTCATTAGGCCTCTGCGAATAGGGAAGTTTTTGATTTGGATTTGGCCAATTCAGAGGACATTGATTTGACTCGGTGATTCAAATCACTGTCCCCATTTGATTCGGCTGAATCAGAATCAGAGTTTCAGCGCTGATTCAGAGATTTGGACCAGCTGGGGAGAGGCAGGCACAGCTGGGCAGCTGCAGGTTTTCCTACAGCCCCTCTAGCTGTGCCTGCCTCCCCATGGGCGTGGAGAGCCATGCGAGAAGTCCCTGTGGCTGCCCTGCCCAGCCCCATCCCCTACCTGGCACTTGAGAAAGAAAAAAAAAAAAGCCGCCCACTCATCAGCTCTGCAAGTGGCGATCAGGGCTCGTGGCAGAGCCCACTTGCGCAGCGCAGGGCAGTGGGGTGCAGTGGGGATGGGCCTCCTGCCTGGCACCCGTGTGGCAGCTGCCCAAAGGCACAAGTGCGGCACAGCTCAGCACTGTGCACTGCCTGGGAGCTGGGGCCAAGCGGTGTTGGGCTCTGGCTGACAGGTGGAGCCACCCCATCTCCTAGACAGCACACAGCGCCTTGCTGAGCTGCACAGCACCCACACAATGCGACAGCTGCCGTGCAGGCACAAGGCGTTGAGGGGGCGGGCAATCTCTACTGCCCCGTGCTGCATGGGGGCACTCTGCCATGAGTGCCCAGAGGTCCTGATTGCCACTGCTAGATCTGGTGAGTGCAGGGCTTTTCTTTTTCTTTTTTTTTTTAAAGTGCTGGGTTGCTGGGGCTGGGCGGGGGGGTTGGGGGGGCAACAGGGGTGGTGCTGGGTGGGGAGGATGAGGGAGTGGGGGCTGTGTCGGGGGGGGTCTGTGATGTGGCCTGAGGGGCCCCACGGCTCCTCTGGCTGTGCCTGCCTCTGCCCGGGTCGGGGGAAGCCCCCATGGCTGCCCTGCCTGGCCCAATCCCCCACCCAGCCCAGCCTCCCGGCACTTGAAAAGAATAAAATAAAAAATAAAGTCCCTCACTCACTGATTGCCGCTTCCAGAGTCTGTGAGTGCAGGCCTTTTTTTTTAAAGTGCTGGGTAGGGGCTGGGGCTGGACAGGACTTCTCTAGCAGCTCCCCCTGCCCAGAGGAGCTGTGGGAGAACCTGCAACCGCCCACCTGTGCCTGCCTCTCCCCCGCGATCTGAATCTCTGAAGCTCTCTGAATCTTTTCTAAATTGATTCGTAGGCTTTGGATTCGATTTGGACCTTTTTAATAGGTCTCCTGATTCAATTCGGATTCAGAGATTCGGCCACTGAATCATGCCAAATCTCCGAATTGAATCGGCAACCAAAGCTTTGCACAGGCCTAGTAGTCATCACAACTGTTATAGAATTAATTCTCTGAATTGAATTCAAGAAATACTCCTTGTTGAAGTATCAGTATCCAGTTCTTAAAAGCGCTGACTGCCTCCAAGGAGAGTAGTCCTATCTTGTGAATTAATTTATTTTAGGTGGCTACATGGGTTTAACTACACAATTTCTTTACATTCTGCATAATTGTCATTCAACATCAAGTAATACCATTAGGCCACAATAGGCAACATTTTCTTCTTTTTTTAAAGAGATCTTCAAGGTAATGCAGAGGAAAAGGTATATAAAATGTACCTTATGTTGGTTATCCACATGTAACTGATGAACCAGCTTCCTTAGTATGATGTACAATAGTAAAATAATACCTGAAATAATAATGCCTACCTGAAAATTTCCTTTCTTCAAAGGTTCACAGGTTTGGCCTGCTGTAGAGGGAAATGGATGACCGAAAACAGATTATCAGGGGTTTAGATATTTTGCCTGTAGAGGTATTTTACCAAACTTTGCAGCAGGGGAGTTTGATTTGCCTTTAAGAAAAATTTTACAAAATCTGGAATTTAGGGAAATAGGTTTGAATTATCCTATCCATGAAAGTTTTGTGTTATAGGGAACTTCAGGAGGCAGGCCATTCCCCTCTTGCAGTGCAGATGAAGTATTCATTGCAGCAGAACTGTGCATCTTATTACACACAGAAAGGAAATTATCAAAGCTGATCAGTTGATCTAATCCTGAGATCGTTCCTTTTTCTTTAAATAGATCCAGGAAAAAATCTAAAAGAAAAACAATATTTGTAGTTGTAAAAATTAGATTAGCACTGGAACCTAATGCATATGCCAGTTCCAAGTACAGACAACAGATTTTTTTGTTGATACAAGAGTCAGGCAACTGCCACCCTGCTGTATGGACATCAACCAGTGCACTGTCGTGTCTCACTGAGAAATAACTTTTTGTCCTCTACCACACCATTGACCACACCACCAGAATCAGCCAGAATTACCCTCTGGCAAAAAGAATGGGAGAAACTAGGTGACAAAGCTGTTGAATGGAGTTGGTGAGGAATTGCCCCCAGTGAGAAGTTAGCCTCCAGCTCCAAATGTCATACATGGCAGAGCCTGAACAGATAGAGAGCGGGTCTCAGAAGATGCAACTTTCTCATGAAACCATGGGGCCTCTGTGCAATTGACCAATGTGTTTGCCAGGAGAAGCAAACCATGGATCATTTCCTGAGATGCCCTATAGCACCACAATGTACCTCGGAAGATCTGGCAACACCAACACCAGAAGCAGCGACCTGTGAGGAATATTAGGAGCAGACCATATAGAAAAGTTGGGTTGGAGTCGCAATGAAGAAGAACAGATTTTTTTTTAAACAGATTAAAATGTTTAAGGCACTTTTTCAAGGTATAAACCAGAATTAAGGAAATAAGTCAAACTCTGCCTTCCATCCACCCTGTAGCCACATCTGCCTACTCTGAAATATAGGATTTTCTGTTACCCAGAAATCAATATCTCATGTGATACTGAGAACCCCGAGTGAAATGTCATTTCTGGGTCACATACATGGAAAGGTTGATTTCCCTATCCCCTGTCCTTCATGTACTCCAAGTTTGGTTCTATACTATAGAATGATTCAGCTACAAAAAAAACAGTTCAGTGCATACATGCTACCTGGACTGAATCAGTATAAAAAGTGTTTAGATTTTGCCTCATTTTGATGCTGTAAATATTCTTTACAGGTCTAATATATTTAATATGAGGTTTCCAGTGCAGTTTGGGTGTCTGCTTTCCTTAGGTTTCTTTGAAAATCCTAGTCTGCTTTTTTTGGTTTGTGTTTTTGCCTCTGATCTCATAACAGAAGCTGAAGAGAGAGGGTAGCAGATAGTAATGAAGTTGATAGGTGTGTTTTTTAGTGTTGTTGACTTTGGTCACACAACCTTTTGGGTAAAGGCCATCCTTGCACAAGCTTAACATTAATGTAATTCTGCAAGTGCTGGATCGGCTTGTGTAGATGGATACTTGGGACACATCTGACCTTTTCTTACAGTTGGTTGTTGTGGCAGCATGCTGTTGTGTTATTCTGAAAGTTGCAACACTTTGTAACCTGCTTATCAAATCCTCTGCATTTTGGATATCTGTTTTAAAGCTGCTGTTTTAAA